CTATCTATCTATCTATCTATCTATCTATCTATCTATCTATCTATCTATCTATCTCCCCTCTCACCCTATGGGTGCTCTGTGCCTGGGAGTTTGAGGGTTCTGTGCAGGATCTGAGCTGTTCCTAGCCCTGCGCTCTTCTGCACAGAGAGCTCTGATGTTGCTTCTGGGATCTGTTGGAGCCCCTCTCCCAGCTTAGGAGTCACAGCCCCGAGTGCTCTGACCACCACTGGGACCACTTTGGCCTTGACTTTCCACATCCTCTCCAGTTCTTCCTTCAGACCCTGGTACTTCTCCAACTTCTCATACTCCTTCTTCCTGATGGTGCCGTCACTTGGCACTGCTACATCTGTCACTACCACTGTCTTCTGGTCCTTGTCTACTACCACAATGTCTGGTTGACTGGCCAGTACCTGCCTGTCTGTCTGGATCTGGAAGTCCCAGAGGATCTTAGCCTTATACAGTATATATCTCATATACATAGTTTTGTGGAGGCCTCGGGGTGGGTGGGTGAGAGATACCAGCAGCTTTTACATTTTTTATCAGGGAGATAGTATTTCTATTTCAGATAAGCCCAGCAAGTCTGACAGTCTCGTGAGACGTCGTTGTGGTTGTATCTGGTGCATGCTTACTTTTCAACATGTGTTATCTGTTAAACAGTAGCTTGGTTTTTGATGATAGCAAATGGTTCTTCCTCCCCCCACTCCCTCTCACTGGTATTCTCTGTGGATAAATGTTGTCTGGAAGGCACAGGAAAACTTTCCTCTACTGTCCCTCCCAGTCTCCTAACTACAGTACTCTTTTCAAGAGTGGTCTTTCTTATGAGAAGAAACCTGCTGTTATAATTGAGTCATGGTCAATGCTTAACACCTTCTATACTTCTGAATTCTTGCATGCTTGCTATGACTGGGTTCATCCATCATGCTAAGCTATAGGGGAGTAAGCAGTGAAGCCTACTGGCCTGGCTGGCCTGGTGCTTGGCCGATCGAATCTGGAACTACTGATTGCTTGTTTTAAAACATGGTGACTGACCCACTTTCTTCCCCTCTCTCTGTCCTCAGAGGCCGAAATAAAAACCCTATTGGACCTGGGAAATATGGCTATGGAAAAGTTCCCTATATACTCCCACTGCAGACTGATACGGGACAATCGCCACACAGGCCACGAAAGCAGCGTCAGTCCATGCAGCCCTCATCCAACCAACAGGGGGTGGGTGCTGCCCCCACTTATGTCCATCCAGGTAGTCCTTCCCATCACCACGGAGGTGCTTACCAAGATGACCACCAATCTCCACCCAGGTCCCAGGGCGCAAGCAGCACTTTCTATCAACAGCCGGCGCCCCATTTACAAGCCTTCCCAGCAGCATCTCAAAGTTTGTTCCAGGGGACAGAACGGAGCAGGCATCAACCAGTCCAAGGGCAGATGTCCACCCAGCAGGCTGCAGCCATTGTGTGCACGGGGGCCTACAAGCAGTACAGACTCTGCAATACGAACGTAAGTGGTACTTTCTGCTCCATCCCTTTTATACCTTATTATCAAACTCTTGCTTTTGGCTTAGGTGTTTTGCAGAAAAGAGAAGAGGCACACTTCAGCTCTTGGGCTGTCTGAATATTTGTCCAGGGCATTAAAAAGTTCTTCATGCTTTTTTTTTTAAAGAGTTTCAAGTGAACACAGCTCCCTTCTGTCTCCCCTTCCCGTTCACTCTTCTTCCTTATTAAAAACATCTTAAAGAAAATAGTTATGGTGCAACCCATCATGGGTTCAGCGGCTACCCAGTTGGGGGTCATGACCCAATTATGCCCTAGATGAATAGTTTATACACCAAATCATCAAAAGAGGGAAATGGGCTTGCACTGGACCCTGGAAAATCTACTGTGTTTATCCACATTCTGTATGATCTCCCAGTACATACATTTAGGCAATCATTTAATTTATTAGCTGAAATATTTTGAGGGCTCCTGCTAGCATCCAGAGAACACCAGGTTTTTCTTTTATTTGGAACATTCTCCATGGTTAATATAATTTATCAAGGGGAAAGAACTCTGTTAATTGGAATCGTAGTGTTGTGTCACTTCCCCCTATGGATTTTGCTTGGGGCAGTTAATTAATAACAAATTAACTCAATCTGCCTTTCTCCATTAGGTCATTTCCTTGCGGTTATATTTTTAATGTTTTTTTTTTTCATTTATGGCAGAACTCATTTTTCAGGACTGACACTTTGGATCATATGCAGTTTGAGCTTAGACAGTTTGGTTAACATGCTTCTGAAAATACATTTAAAGATCAGTGCTCTTTGGAAGGGGGGTGGTGGTTTTTCAAAATTAAGATGAATTATCCATTGTTTTAGAAACACTTGAAGTTTTATTAGATGCAGGACAAGAACTGTCTGATCATTCACCATTTGATAAATAAGACCCAGTGGGATGCTAAACTGGAAGGGGATGGAATAATTAAAGCAAATAAAAGTATTTAGAAAGAGCTGCAAAAATAGACGGGAACTGTTGTTGCTCGCCAGATGTAACGATGTGTCCCTGCAGGGCAGAAATTTATCACAGTGCATAGAATGCCTGGTTGCTAGTTGAGTTCCAGGACAATGTACAATGGTTGTAGGATTGTACATTCATTTCCTTGCTGGATAAGAACAGCGGTCTTGAGAACCTAAGTAGAACCAAGCTGGAACCAACAAAACTCAATTAGACACAAACTTGCCAGCCTTGTGAGGTAGTCCAGACAGGAAGCACAGTCAGATGAGCTAATTCTATTTTATTGTAAGGCTACATTAACAGAATCTTGCAAGGCTGAAAGTTCAATTCTCCCCTGTTGTCTTTACAGCCCAAGAAACTAGGGAGGGTCTCTTCTAAGACATTTGCCATGTCCACATTCCTTCTGCGGGCTCAGCTGCTGCTTCTCCGACCATTCCCCTGGTGGTGGCTCTTCCCCCTATCTCCCAAGGTCATTCCCACATACCATTTTAGCACCCTTCTGCTTGTGCTTCAAACCAACTAAATTTGTGAAATAATATATGGACATCTTGAGTTATAACTATGATCTTCCATGTAACCATTGAACCCTTTATTGATTCACTCCAAGTTGTCGCTTACATTTTGTGGGGCTGTATTCCATGGCTTGACTACGCTATGCAGATGATCTCTTTTCTTGACCTGATTGCAAGATCCAAGGTTCTAACCTGGCAAGAATATGAGGGAAACTGACCAACATCACTTTTCCTCCTCCTCCCAACAACAATGCAACATTTATTTCGCTTTCTTGGCATTGTCCACAAACCTCACAACTCCTCCAAGAAGGACTATCTGAGAGATTGGTTGCCTAGGAATTGATGGACTGAGGTAGAACCAAGCTATTATAATAGCTAACTTTTGTCAACATCTTTTCTGAAATGGAGATATGTCATCCAAATGGGGGGGGGGATATCTCTTCTAACAGCTGTGTCCTTCTTTCCTCTCCTTTGTCCTGAAATGAGAATTAAAATCAAATGGTGCTCCGAAGAATCTGTTCTTTTAAAGACACAATGGAGTGCAACTAGATCAAATTCCACCCTCTCTCCTCTGTGGATTCCCCCAAACCACTCCATTGAATACCCAGACATTTTCACCTCCAGCTTTCGTCTTCTGCCTTGACTTTTCACTCCACGGTTCTCATTTCTCTGAGATACGATTCCATCCACCTGTAAAGTCATGACCTTTCCCCATATTTATTGCTTGGCCTGGTCTTCTCTGCCCTTTGCTTAGTTAACTCAGACCTCCTTGGCTTTTTCAATCGTTTCTCGATCATTCCAGCCCTCCGTCTGTGAATTCTCTCAATTGCTTATATGTTGTGTGGGTTCACTGCAAACAACATGGACACTTGGGAGGAGTTTTATGTAGCCCCCCTCCCATTCAGAGTGGGGTGTGGGTTTGATTTCTTGGCCAGATCTTCATCTCAGCATTTCAGGTTTCCTCTTTCAGCCCTTTGGCACAGCCAGGAGTTTTCAATTACAAATCACTGACTCTGAACATGGCTCTGATCCATGTTATATTTAAGCAGCTAGCCATACATTTTGGGATAGGGGACTTCTCCTATCTTTTCTCGGGTTAATTAGCCGCCTTTCTCCCATTTTGTCTTCCTCGCCTTTGGTTTAATAACTGTAATATATCTAAGTTGGTTTTTTTTCACTGTATCATCACCATGCATCCTTTTTTTCTTTTAACTCTTCTGCGGCTGTGGCGGTTTTCGGTATCTCATGATTAAAAATAATTAATACAAAATATTAAAAAAATAACAATACTTCCCCCCCCCCTTTTTTAGACTGAGCTAACTAGAGGGGGCAAAAAAGGCTATCACAAGGAAAATAACAACAACAGCAGGTTCTCTCATGTACCAAGAATTAACATTTTACTAATTTTCATTGGGCTTGCATTTGGACTGAGGATCGCCATTAGCCTTGGGGATCAATAGACAGATCCTAGGGCTTTGTATCCCTACGTAGACCAGTGTTTCTCAACCTTGGCAACTCTAAGATAT